AGCAAAATGACCTGACTGCACACAGGATGCCTTCTGCAAAATGACCTGACTACATACAGGATGCCTTCTGCCAAATGACCTGACTACATACAGGATGCCTTCCGCCAAATGACCTGACTACACATAGGATGCCTTCCGCCAAATGACCTGACTACACATAGGATGCCTTCTGCAAAATGACCTGACTGCACACAGGATGCCTTCTACCAAATGACCTGACTGCACACAAGATGCCTTTTGCCAAATGACCTGACTACATACAGGATGACTTCTGCCAAATAACCTGACTGCATACAGGATGCCTTCAGGATGCCTTCAGGATGCCTTGACCCTCTATAATGATTTGACAACTCAGCACACAGACAGTGACCTGACTACACACGCATGACCCCCACATTACATGACCTGACCTGACCTGACTACACACATGGTTTTTATTCACATTGGGTGACCCCCTGGCCCACATACATGCACATAAATGAATCTCGAAATGACTTGACTGCACAAGACAACCCATACAATGACCTGACTGCACAAGACAACCCATACAATAAACTGACTGCACACAAGACTTACCTAACTGCACACATGATGACCCCTCAATTACCTAACTACATTAGATGATCCCTCGTATATACATAACTACACACAAGATGACCCCTCACAATTACCTAACTACAAACATGGTGGACCTTCCCCAACACATGCACAAAGGATGACCCCACAATCACGTAACTACACACATGATGGACCCATAATTACCTAACTACACACAAGATGGACCCATAATTACCTAACTACACACAAGATGGACCCACAATTACCTAACTACACACATGTTGGACCCATAATTACCTAACTACACACAAGATGGACCCATAATTACCTAACTACACACAAGATGGACCCATAATTACCTAACTACACACATGATGGACCCACAATTACCTAACTACACACATGATGGACCCACAATTACCTAACCACACACAAGATGGACCCTTACTATACTTAACTATACACAGGATGATCTTTCACAATTACTAAACTTTACACAGGATAGACCTCCTCCAAAATATGCACATAGGATGATCCCACAACACACCCTAACTACACACAAGATGATCCCTGACAATTACAGTGCAGAACCCCCCAACAATGACCTGAATACACACAGGATGACCCCATGGTGATCATACACATTGGGTGACCCAGCAATTTCCTAACCTGACTACACATCTGATGAACAGTATTTTGATTTGAATTGTAGACTGAATGTGCATGTGTACAAAATATAATATATAATTAAACATACTGACATATTGGATTTACATGGGTTTTATTTCGGAGAAAATAAACCATATTTACAATAATGTCTGGATTCCTGCTCCAACAAGTTTAATTATATTGGTCTGTATTTAAATCGACATCAAAATACACTTCAGTTGCTATGGTATTTAGAGATTACCAGGAAAAATATTAGAATATCATATCTTCATATCAACCAGAATACGTTGTAGCCAAAAGCACCATCATCTAAATCATCTTTGACCGAAATTCCACCGCAAAACTGTCATACTTGAGCTAAATTCGAGAAACACTTCTTAAATATCGATTTGTTTAAATTGGACGGATCTAATAAACTGCAATACAGATTGTCTCTTATGAGTAAATACGTCTTAATTAAGATCAAAATCTACATACTGTTTATTTTAGGTCAGGAAATAGTCATCTTCCATCTTGTTACAAGAACCGCCTCAGATTAACGAGGCCACATGGATAATTTGAGGATTTTCACAACTTTAATTTGATGCACATTGACTTTTTGTCGATCGTTATGTAAACACAATTTTTTTTTAAAACTTCGCGTGATGAAGTAACGTTAATACTTGTACATTTTTAATTAATTGTACGCAAAACAGGTACTCAGAATTTATCCATTATCTTCAAAAGCTTATTGTGTCTTCAATTAGTTTGTTCTGATTCACACTGCTCAAGCCATTTCTCTACCATTTCCTTACGTGACACATTCTGTATTGGGTTTCTGGGAGTCGATTTATTCCCTAATTTGGTGTCGTCTGGAGATCGCGAGGGACTTGCGTCTCGCGAGTTCTCGCCGTCCACCTCGCATAAAGGTTCCTGTAGGGCGTTTTTATCGGGACTGCGTTTACCTTTCGTTTCCGAGTTTCGTTCTGGTTTTTCGCATAACTGCGGTGGTATCTTGATCACAGGTGAGCTTTTCATTCGCATTAGAAGTTTATGTCGCCGTTTTGCTAACAGAGGGTTACCAGTAGTTGTAGCGCGGGGATCAGTTGACATGTTTTTCCGCAATTGATTATTGACCCTGCGGAGAGTCGATTCTATGTGTTGAGTCGTGCCGCCCCCTCCGGAATGATTACTCTCAACACTACTTTTTCTTTCGTGTTTTGAGTCTCCTTCTCGGATTGATGTAATGTCTGGATCACTTCGGAATTTGCCTCGTCGGTTTATAGAACTGGATGCGCACTTATCATTTTCCCTACCAGGAGACATGGGTAGGTCGGCGCGAGTCGGTGTTTCTGGGGGTGTGATTCGCCTGCTGCCTGCTAACAACAGAGAGAAGTCCATACTTTTTTGTTTCATGAG